TTTCTTTTACTATTAATCCATTCCCCTTCGATATTTCGTGTTTCTTTAATCACTTCTTCTATCTCTTTTTCTACTTCTTCTGTACTTCTTAATTCTATCTTCTCTCGATAATACCCTTCCATACTTTTCTTCTCTATAAATCTCTTGATCGTTTCTAAATCTTCTCTACTAAAACTTCCTACTATCATCTTCCCATTCACTTCTTTCCTATTTCTATCTTTATTTTGATTATTCCCATTTGTATTCGTTTGATTAATTATACTTGTGTTCGTTTGATTAATTATACTTGTGTTCGTTTGACTGAATGGATTTGTGTTCGTTTGATTAAACAGACTTGTATTAAACATAATTTCTCTTATTCTATTTTTCTCAGTTCTTTTCCTTTTCTCTTTTATCTTCTTTTTTTTGTTATATTTAACAAAAAAATTAATACTTGAAAAACAAAAGTCAAACTTTTCATTTATTATTTGCTATTTCCTTTATTTTTTGATATATTTTAAAAAAATATAGATTCACTTTTTTGATATTTCTTTTATACGTTAAAAAAGTATTATAGATACAAAAAATGAATATTTGAAAAGTTATGGTTTGTTGTGATGTTAATGAATATTCGGATTTATTTAGGAGAAAGTTCAAAAAAGTTGATGTGTGAAGTTATTTAAAGATATTTATTAGAACCATTCCAAAGAACTCTTCATTCATTCAGAAAATGGCTTCTAGATTTACAATAGAAACAAACAAAAGATTTCTTCAAGAATATGACATTTCTAAAGATGATGAGTATTTAGATGCTTTACGAGGATACTATGCAGATTTAAATGGTGTAAAAAACCAAATGAAATTTGAAGACATTGTTAAATCAAGAAAAAGTATTGCCGAAATTAATAGAGAATGTCCAGATACAGTTAATCCTTCATTCTGGAAGAAGTCATTTATAGACAAACTAGAGGGTGTTTATGAAGTTATTCCAAACAAATTATACCAAGTAAGAGCAGAATCTCTTGATATTGCAAATTTGACTGTTTTAAGAGGACAGAGTGGATGGATTATTATAGATTGTATGTCAACTATAGCCTCTTCAAGTAAAGCATTTGGACTAATAAAATCTACCGTAGAAGACCTTCCTGTATCTGCTGTTGTTATAACTCATTCACATTTTGACCACTTTGGAGGATATGATGCAGTAGCAACACATAACACTCCTTTGTATATCCCAGAAACTTTTTATGAATCACTATTTGATGAAAGTATATTTGCTGGAAGTGCTATGTCAAGAAGAGCAGAATATATGTATGGAACTCGCCTTAATGAATCAAAGACAAAGTCAAGTGGAAATGGGTT